GGCTGAGAGCAATGCGAAAAAGATCCTAAAATAGACTTAATTTTTTATATTTAAAGCTCCTAAACCTAAGGTGGACGGCCTAGATCTAATCCTCAGCTAATTGGGAGGGAAATCAAATAGATTAAGCTGTGGTTTTGAATTCAAATTGATGGGGAGGCTTTAAATGCAATTAAAAGGGATTAAATAGGCCTTAAATGGGTTAAATAGGTTAATTCGACCCATTAAGAGCTTAGTTTGACCAAGTCAGAGTTTGACTTGATCAAACCACTCACATGGGTCAAAGGGAAAGGGTGATTGAGTCATGGAAAGGTTTAGATGCTTTTGAAATTGATTTAGGCTCTAAAGGGCCTAATGGGTCAACCTGGGTTGACTTGGTCAACCAGGTTGACCCAGGACTCAGGTCTGAGCTCAACAAAGTCAGTCTGACCATTTGAGTCCAGTGGAGTGGGGAATTGGGCTTGAGAAGCCCTGGAATTGGTTTGAAACCAATCAGAAGGGAATCAGGGTCAATTTGGGGGTTGACCTGGTCAACCAGGTTGACCCAGGACCTGGGTCTGGGCTCAACAGACTCAGTTTGACCACTGAATTGATTGCGAGTGGCCTTGGGCTATGGCTTGGTCAATTTGACCAAGTCAACCTTCCAGACCCAAGGATTTGACAAAATCGAGGTCAACAATTACATGTTTCTATTACATATATATGTACATATATACACATATATATATTTATGAAAACATCACAACTAATTACCTGACATCACAACTAATTACCTGACAGTTACAATGCCAAGCTTATTTTTTAATCTATTTACCATGCATACTTAGGACTTTTAGCATATATATGGCGTGTTCAAGCCAATATTTGGACTTTTGTGTTTAAAGAATGTGAGCTTGATTTGGGTGAAGCAAATACAGTCAATTATCAGGATGGGCATATGTAGTTTTGAACTACAAATTGAAAAAGCTCTTTGAACTTTTTGTGTTCAAATAGAGGGGTCCTTTTTCCTTTTTCTTAATTTGGGCTAGGAAAATGAAGGAGATCATCTATTGATTTTGGCTCAATAAGTGGGTCGATAGAATTTAGGATTTGGTCCTAAGAGTCTCTATTGTTTTCTTAAACCCTTTAGAGGTCATTTGGGAACCTTTATGTGAGTTCAAGAAGGCACTAAGCAAAGGGAAGATGATCCAACACATGACATTTGGGCCAGTTAGGAGGAGTTTCTGTTATAGAATGAAAGGATGATTTGTAACTTTGGGATTATAAATCATAAGGGTTCTTTGAGTTTTTTTGTATTCAAAGAGGGATTCTCGTTCACCAAATTTGAGTTAAGTGAATGAAATGGGCTAGGATTTGGGTTCTAAAATGATCAACTAGACTTAGGGTTTGGTCCTAAGAATTTTTAATGCTCTCTTGAGCTCCTTAGAGATCATTTGTAAATTTCTAGAAGTGTCTGCAAACGACACTGTGCAAGGGGAGCGAGGTATGTTGAATCATGCTGAATTTGTTTCAACTTGAGCCAAACCTAATCCTAAGACTTGTCTAAGGGTGGGATATCTCCTAAGGGGTCCTAGGAATCTTGCAACAGGATGCTTGAAGTTTTAAGGGCTTCAAGGCACCGTGCATAATGAAAAGGAGCTTTTAATTATTTAGAATATTCTAATTCATCTAAAATTAAAATTAGAATAATTTTTATTTTAGGGGAAATCTAGAATCACTTTTGGCATGATATAAGAGCCCTAAAAGTATGCAAAGTTAATTTGCATTTTTTAGGAATTTTAGGGATTTAGAGCAATCTCTTTTTTTATTGATTTTTCAAAGTTTTGAATATGAACCATGGTGAGACTTGCAACACAGACCTTAGGAGGTCAATGAGGAGTCTCACAATAATTTAGTGCTTTCTAAATTGATTAAATTCATCTTCAATCACATGCAAAATTTATAAAAGAATAATAATCGATTGTTCTAAATTTCTAAAATTTCTAAAAAAATTGTGAATCATCTTCACACGCTTCTAGGGTTCTTAGAACACGTTAATTATCTTATAATTCCCTCAAGCCATAAAGATGATCATTCCTATTTAAATAAATTCAAAACATTCTTAAAAATAGGAATATTTAGAAGCCCTCTTTCTTTTCATGCATGATGCTTTGGTGCTCTCCAAAGATTTAAGCACCTCAATGTGCGATCCCTAGGATCCCTTATGAGCTAGCACATCTTTAGATAAGACTTAGAGTCACCCTGGTTCAAGTTGAACCAAACTTAACTTGAACCATCCTAAACTCCCCACCTTTGCCTGGAACTTTCCTGAACTCACATAAAGGTTTCCAACTAACCAGTAAATTGTTCAAGAGAGAACTAGGGATTTTTAGGAACACACCTTAAATCCCGTTGGTCCAATTATTGAGCCAAAGTCAGTAAATGATTCCACCTTAAGCATAGGATCCCAATTTTAACCTCCCACATTTACTTAACCCATATTGAACAAATGAATCTCTATCCTTGAATACAAAATTTCAAGGATCCCTTCTTGATTTGTAGCCCCAATGTTATAAATCGTTCCTTATTTCTATGGACCAAAAAGTCATAAAAGATCCCTCAACCGCCTTAGCATCAAAACTATTTGTTACACTTTATATTACTTAGCCTCGAAGGCATAAGAAATTCTGCAAAACATAGCCTCAAAACTGTAGCTTAAATCCCATATTTCTCAGCCTAAAAGCTATAAGAGCTGATCTGTTCTTTGGCCTCAAGGCTGAGGCTCACATATGACCCAATCAAGTAGATGATCTTTTCATCTATACCTAAACTCTAGATGCCCCATCACTTAGCTAAAATAGGTGATTTCATTCTTCATAACATTAAAATTTAGGCTTCTAGGTCTCTTTAGAAGCCTCCTTGAAATTCATCACGTCAAATTACATGAATTTCACTAAGTCTTGACTTAAACCCTTAGGAAAGTTTACTTTACCCTATTAAGCAAACACACCTCTTTTATTCAAACATTTGGAGAATTCACTAAACTTCATAAAATATATTTATGTTTCTTATGATGCAAAGGCATTCCTTTTTTGATACTTTTTTTATTCCTTGGTTGTAATAATAAAAGGCCTATATTATTATTCTATGGTTTAAATTTATGTATATAATTCATTGTTTATTAAGTGCATATTAGAAATATTTGTTTTTTTTCTTAAATTTCTTTTCTTGCTTTTTTGGGGGTGGCCTGGATGTTTTTCGAGGCAAGCTCTTAGGAAATGTAAGAGTTCTACTAATTAAAGTGTAATCAATCTAAAATTAATGATACGATAATTTTTTTCCAACAAAATTTTGTGACTTGTCCAAAATAAATCAAGTTTTTAAAATTCAAAATGAATATCATATCATAACCCAGTGTGTCACATATAAATAAAAGCCCTCACATTAAGAGCTAGATAATAAAAATTGTATTATGAGTTAGGATTTGCATACTCGTATGGTAGCTAAGTTGTAAACCCCATCCTTTGAATTGAAACAACCTCACTTATTTTGCATATGCATTGAGACCAGACATGTATGATTTTAAAGCGCTTAGGTGGATTAGCTGGCTATTCTTATCAAGTAGGATTTTAACTCTAGAGATTTTAAGTCCAGTGTCGGGTTGACTTAACTGTAGGTAGGGTTTTAAGTTTGAAAGTCCCTAGCATTTTGATACATTTAGGTTAAGAGTTATTAATTGTTGGTGGTTCTCATCTTAGGGTTTGAGGCCAATATTCTTTTCCGGTGTATCGTAAGCCCTCATTTTTCTGTGCATTTCCTCAAACTTGTGTTGTTGATATAAGCCCCAATCATCTAAATTAAATGAAAATTTTTAATCTAAATCTAATTTTAAAATGTAATATCCAACATAAGATAGTTTTGAGTGTCTCTCATAAAGTCAAAATCAAGTATTCTTACGTTTCCTCTTTTAACTTTCATTAAAAGACATTGATTTTTAAGTTGATCTAATCATCTTAAAATTCTCAAAAGTCAAATTTTTTATAAAATGTTTTTGAAAATCATGTAAAATGTTAGTCAATGTTTTAATGAAATGATGTAAATTACTATTTTAATCAAAAGTTTTTTCAAGGGACAAATTCTTGGGATTTAATTAATCATAGGGGGTTGTCCATATGGGGAACCTGTACCCCAGAATATAATAAATCATATTCAATCAAACATATTGATTAGGCGAAAAATCTCTCATAAAATTTAAAAAAATGTGAATTTTGTTAACAAGTCTATAGTGAAATAATATTTTTATCCTTCGTAATAATATATTATCTTTAATCACAAAATATTTCAATCCATTAAGAATTGCAAAAATTCCATCGACAATGTTGGTTGATTGAGAATGTTACATTTACAGAAAAAGAGATTCAACTTAAAATAGGTGAGAACTGTTTTATTTATATGTTTAAGATGGAAATTATTTTAGTAGCTCATTGGTTAGAGTTCGGATGTTTATTTTAGTTGAGTGCTTGGTGTTGTTCAAAGAATTTGTGAAATCTGTCATACTCTGTTTTCGCTTCATTAGTTCGATTGTCCGGACCGGGTCGTGTGACAAAGGGGCTTGGCAATTTGAGGAAGTTTTGGGATATAAGATTGCCTATAATGACGATCAACTCTCCTAAAAGCTGAAGTTTGAAGGTTTCAGGCTATGATCATCTTTATATTGTAGCAGAATAGCATGGATTCCCAATTCATGGAGTTGGCTTCAGAAGATTTAGTGTATTGTTTAATGACACATCAAAGAAATCTGCAACGTAGGTTGAAGCTGATTTAAGATGTGATCATTTTGCATTACACATTTAGGCATCATATTAGAATGGCTTGATTGGCGTACTTTGGCTTAGCTTTGGTGTGATTTTATGCTGACTCTGTGCCTCTCTAGCGTACCAGTAGGGGATGTCATCTTTTTTTAATGCATTGTTTTGGCAGTTAAGTTTACTTTAATAAATTCAAACATGTTTTTGGCATTGCAGTTGGCAGAATCTCCACATGGTACAAAGTTCTTATTGAAGACGTCATTACTACAGCTTCTAACTGATATGATCAGGTATCCATCAAATAGGTTGTTCCGGCAACGGACTAACCAGTACCATTCCTGATCAATTCACTCAGTTTTTATGAACTTTTTATTCTGACAGCAATGATACAGTAGATTCTATATTGAGATCAAGAGCAATGCTCATAGGTGGAAGGCTTCTGTCTTCAACGGATGCTTACAGAACTATTGATCAATCACGTAAGATGTATAGCCTTCCACTAATTATTTTTTTTATTGAAGAACATGTGTAGGGTTAGTTATGCTGTCAGTAATAATGTTTCCTTTTTTATCATTATTTTTGTATCAACAGTCAGGATGCAGTGCTCATTTGACTGTACGGCAGACTAATATTCCAATTTAACAATGTGATGTGGGTGCTCTACATTTCTCCAGTAGTTTTGTTCAATGGATCAAAAATAAAAATGAGTTTGTGATGCATGATGTTTGAGGGTCTAGGATTTCTAATTCAATTAGGATGATGCAATAAATGTAGACCACATGAAGGAATTGGAATTCGCTGACCAAATGTCACTACATACTTAAATGTTTTGCTTTCTTTAGAACAAAATGATAATGCAACTTCGTTTAAATTGAAAGAAATCAATTTTAAATTTAAACCACAAACATCAATGAGCAGTCAAATTTTTGCCATTATTAAATTGAAGTTGTAGCAAATTTGACAAAAAATTGGAATTTGCAACACAATATTTAAGAAGAAAAATAGATGTTAATTTTCTAAAAGTTAACTTTCGAACTTGCATTATACTCAAAGAAATTTCTCTTACAACAAACACAAATTTGAAAATTGGAATATGAGATTTTATTGACAAAATAAATGAATGAATCTATGGCTAAAGTATTTACCGTTCTCTATTTGTGAAAATTGTAATTGCATGGATCAATGCAAACTGATAGCAAACATACCAAGTCCAAATACGTCACAATAGCAAACCCAAAAATACCTCAAATGATATAGGAATGCAACACTTAATGTAATCGATCACTACAATAGGTAATTTTGTGTAGCTGAAACAAGTGAGGCACCTAATCCACCTGACTTCATAGCGCATGAAGGAATAGGATAAGCACAGGTACTAGCTGACCCATGAACCTTCAAAATTTGAAACTAGTGAACTCACTGAACCAAAGAAAATACATCTCAACTCATAACATCACCAAGCATAACAGAAATAGAAGCGTCAAGGCAGCAACAATAGAAAGCATAGTTCAATAAATAATGGTTGACTTAAGTCAGCATTCATTGGGAAGATTACCAAAATTGGAGCTTCAACATAATACTAAAATTTCAACCTTGAAACAAAAATAGTTGTGAATTGAATCAAATTAGGGATTAAAAATAATATGGATTTTATTTTATTCTCGCAGGCACATCATCACATATATGTTACTTGAAGTCTAAAGGTTTTCGTTTGACTAGATCAAAAACGGAATATATGGAGTATAATTTTAGTAATAATAGATCTAGTTGGGAGATTGTGACTTTAGGCGATCAAGTCATTAATAAGAGTACACATTTTAGATATCTTGGGTCTATTGTTCAGAGTGATGGTGAAATAGATGGGGATATTATTAGTATTATCCAAGTTGGATGGTTGAAGAGGAGGAATGCATCGGGCTTGTTGTTTGATAGAAAAGTCCTCCTCAAATTAGAGGGAAAATTCTATAAGATGGTGGTTAGACCTGCAATGTTTTATGGTACAGAATGTTGGCCATTAAAAGAGAAGCATAATATTAAGTGTTGCATAGATGAGGATGCTCAGGTGAATGAATAGCTTTACTCTTAGAGACATGATACAAAATGAGCATATACGTGAAAAGGTTGGAGTAGCGCAAGATAAGATTAGAGAGAGTCGCCTTAGATGATTTGATCACGTAAAACGGTGGCCTTCTGAACATCGTCAACTCCTTTAATAAAAATTAATAATTCTAGTTTTAATTTAGGATCATTATAGATTAGAATTAGTAATATTTTTTTATTATAGAAATGTTTAATAATTTTTTTTAAAAATACAATGATGAGGACATCAGTCAGAGATTTCAACATGTGTACTGTCATCGGAGTCGTAGATCGACGACTATGATCCAGAGTAATTACTTTTGATATATTTTGTATTTTATTTATTTTTCATTTTCTATTTTTCCTAGCTTACCCCTATGGGTAGTGGGTCGCTATTGTAGCCCCGAGGGCACTTGTGTCTTTCTGCTTTTCTTTTATTGAGGCATATATATTAAGATCTCTTAGCTTTGTAATGGTTAATGATGGTTCTGAATGAAATTTTCACTTTCTTGCATGATCTCTTGGTGAGTTCTTGAGAGGAGCAACCCTAAGTGGCTGAGAGCAATACCCGTCAGTCTTGGTGGATTCCAAGGTTCGCAGTCCTTTGACTTCTTTTTTCTTTTATTCCTCCACAAGCTTTCCCCCTCAATCTTTTGCTGATCTCCCCTCTTTGTGGACTCATTTCCCCCCACAAACCGCCACTTCCATCCTCCCAAAATCGACCCCAACCTCTGGCCGCCGTCCTCCCACTGCGGCCCAACCCGCCGGCCACAACCCCACCCGCCGACATCCCACATCCCTTTCCACATACCAAAGCCGCCGGCCTCTCCCCTTGATCTCTAAATTTGAAATTCTAATTTCAAATGCTCATTATTCCTTTCCTATAATCCTCCATAATATCCTCTTAACCGCCGGCCCCTCCTTTATTGGATTAATTTTGAATTTCAAAATTAGTCCTTCCCTCTCATTTAGTAAAATCTGAGTTAATTTCAGATTTTAAGATTTCCCCCCATTTCTTCTCTTCCCCCACCTAACCCGAACCACCCCACCGTCCCCTCCTCCACACCCTCTCATTGTCGGCCAAGACCTCCGAACCACGACACACCAAACCCTTCCATGATCATGTATGGTTGATCCGGAAGTTGATCACGGGCTTATTCTCAATTCTCAAGGGGAGGTTGACGTCATCCAATCACCATTCTTCGACCCTGGATTTGGATCTGAAAGCACCATCGAGGAATACGTTGATCGTATCCTCTTCCATTTAGCGGATGTCATCGACGAACAAAGACCTATTGGAGAGTGGGAGATCACCGGACGACCACTCGTTCCTCCAACCCCGACTCCTTCCCCGACGACTAGCACCCTTGTCATTGCATGTCTTTTAGCGGAGCTTCTAAGTTTGCTTGCAAAATTCTTCTGCTAAGCCAATCCCTATCAATAGTGTGAGTGAGGGATCCCACGGTGAACGATCTAAATATTAAACTGTGGACTTTGTTAACTTGCCATTTGCTTTACTCATTATTTTTTGTTGTTATTTTTCAAGTATCCTAGTAATCTCAATTGTAATCGCTTGCTGTTACTTAGTCCTTTCATGGAATTTTCTAAGATCTAACTTGAAGAAGCATCCGTTTATAGTTAGTCAAGCAAAGTTCACATTTTACTAATTTCTTAAAAGCAATTCTTTTTTATCATCATTGTTTCACATCATATTTGGTATCAGAGCATGGTTAGCTAGAACTCATCCTAGGGAACTATATCATCATTCTTAAGTATCCTTGCATGCGCATCACTACTTAGAAAAGTTTTAACCCTTATTAGTCTTGCTGTCCAGAAAATTTCTGCACCAATTAGTGGCCTTTAGGTGAGTCTAAACTAGTATTTAGGTGCTGCGCATCACCACTTTTTGTTATGCCATTATTATCCCTCTAATAGAATAGATCATACATCCCTCATAAATGATGAACTAATTAAAAAAATGACTGTAGCTTTGGAATATTCTAAGTTTTTTTTCTTTTTTTATAGACATGGGAGGCTGCATCTTCTAAGTTTTGTTTTTCTTTTTTTATTTTTTCTTTTGAAACTTGATAGAGGAAAAGTTGATGGTTTTTTGTTGACACGTGTCTGTCTTCTTTATTACACAATAAGCATTTGAATTTCACAAGTTCGATGCAGGGATTAAGGTACTTCTTTTGGCCATTCATGGGAGATTGAATAAGCTTGAGTCTCAAAATATGGATGAAGTTGAAAATGCTCTAGAAGCAGTGGGCCTAATTGGATCTTGTAAGTCTGTTTACAGAGTGAAACAATAATGTTTATTTTTGATAATTTCGTTTTTTTTAATATTATTTTACTTTCAACTTTCCATCACTCTCTATTTGCTTGTAAAAATGAGGTCTATAATTATATATCCAGTGATATGTTATTGCCGTCTCTTCTTTGGCATAACAATGCACCTAATGCTTTGAAGTTGTATATTGTGCCTGTCAATACGGACGTGTCCCACACTTTAGTCTGTTGGCATCCAACTGATATCATAACTAGTGCTTGATGCTTTTATATATTTTGCCACCATGGTAGAGCTTATATTCTTTTTGTTGAATTAAACGATTTCAAGTTTTTGAAAATTTGCCTAAATTTGCCTATTTTCATTAAAGATTGGTTTATTTACATTACAAGGTAGGCTAGTCAAAATAGTTTTTAAGTGTTTAGTTAAACTTTTTGGAAATAAAAAATTATATCCAACCTTTAGGAGGCTTTCCTGATCTTAATGTTATGTTCCGGAATGTTTCAATTAGGCAATAGCTTGTACCATTTTTTGTGCTCTCATAAATTGTGGGACTGCTTTAACAGAATCATGACTATAATTTTTATTTATTTAATGAATGAAACTCATCTAGGATCTATGGGGAAAGGATCAATTGGGCCATTGCAAGCATGATTGACTTGTTGGAATATAAATTATGTTGTGGATTTTAGATATCCATGTTACACTGGTCTTTTGTCTCAATATAATATCCGTATTTTAAACTTATTTTTTCAATTTTATTCTTTATGCAATAACTATAGAATATCTCATAATACACAAATATGTTGTCTTGTTATTCTTTTCTCCTTTTTTATTAATATAAATGACATGCATGCTGGAAGATGTCTTGGAACTCTATTTGGATTAGGAAAATTGATACTCCTGTTCAATAAGTTTACTCGCATGACCTTGGGATATACTTTTTGAACATTAGCAATTGGCATGAGCCGTCCCTTCTTGTCTCCTAAGCGTATATGACGATATTGATAATACCATTTACTGTGGCACACTTCTGGAAAAAGGGTGCTTGAATAGGTGTCATCCAGTTTTTAAATAGCTTGATCATAGAACTTAAATTGGAAGTGTGCGTTTGTATGGTTTAGGGACTCCCATCTAGTTTTCAGTTGGCCAGATAGTGTTTTTTGTGATAATTACTACATTTTAGCACGTAATTAGATTGTGATAATTACTACAGATTTTTTTATGATAACAATTAAATCATTTAATGTCACCTTTCTTTTTATCTTCATTCAGTCAATATATTGATTGCTATTATTTTTGTTTTTCGAGTTGAGTTGTGTAAAATCTGTCCAACTTTCTAATGACCTGATCTACCTCAACTGGCCCATCAATAATGGCACAATCTTTGGAAAAAACTTGACGGTGATGTTTAAATTGCCAAATTGCTCATATCCATATTCATGTGTGTATGGACCACATCCTACTTTTATACCTACTTGAAACCAAGCTTAGATGACTTGTCAGTTTTTTGTTTAGATCGGTGAGGACCAATGATTAATACTTAACGTAGCATGCTGATGAAAGTGGAAGGAAATTCAGTTTTTATGATGGGCAATAATAGAAGTTGATCTCTCAGAATATCTCACCAAGGAATCCCTTGAAGAAATGAACTCTACTTATCAATCAGATGCACTGACACTCATAACTGCATTCTCTTTCCAAAATCTCAACTTGCATCCAGGGCATTTTTCAACCACTCATTTTGCATTCTGCAGCATTTTGTTTTGCATGATTGTAAATAATTACAACTTACAAATAGTGTCACGACCCGACTCAGCTAGTCTGAATTAACGGGGCGGAAACATAGAGCCGTACGATAAAAACACCTTTAACTTTCATTTCATAAATGACAAACACAATAATCATTCAAATACAGAACAGTGAAAGAAAGAGCCACTAAATTTCCAAACTGAAATATCTCTAATGCATCAAAACATGAAATCTCATAAAACATAAATTGAAAATATTACAGTAGTCTACGACACATCAACCAATACATTACACAACATGAGCATAAAAACCTAATATCCTGGGATCCTCTATGATGGTAGGTAAACGGTCTTTCGGCCATCACTCTCTAGCACTCTCCTGAAAAATATTCCCACAAGCAGGGTGAGCTAAAGCTCAGCAGCTAACAGGTATTTATCATAAATTCATGAAACAATAAAAAAAGGATGTTATGCATGAAATTTTCATTCAAAAGAATTTGAGAAAATAAAGAAAACATACTTGACATTTGATATGCATATAATGTATAACATTTCTCTTTTATTTTTCTTAAACTTTTTCATTCTTCATAAACTTTTTCTTTCATCATAACCTTTCTTTAAATGAATAAAATGCTTAATCATAATATAATATGCCCGTCTCGGGAGTACCAATGTTTTATACTTGATACGACATCGCAAAATCATCTTGATTGGGCACAAATCTCGAGGCAAAACCTAGTTGGAAACTTCAAAAATTAATTTCGGAAGCATATGAATCCTTTACCATTTGCTTTGAAGAGCCCCTTTACCATTGATTCCAAAGAGTTTCTTTACCATTGGCTCCGAAGAGCCTCTTTACCATTTGGTACTCCGGATCATCATGCACATACAATCATAATATATATCATATGGTTTAAGTCATTCAGAAATTCATATATATTGCCTAAATTGTTTTATGTTCAAATGTTCTCATGTCTATCTAAATTTTAATTGAAGAAATATGCCATCACATTTAACCTTAAAGGTTTAACATTTAATGTAACGATAAACATAAGTATAAAAATTTAACATTTCTTGGATACTAAAAATGCAGATAATTTTAACATGTGAAATTTACTTACAAAGAAAAATTTAACATAAAATAAAAATTTAGAAACATAAGTACCATAAACTTAAACGACGCCACTTATGCTCGAAGTGCCCCCTTATTTGACACCTTAAGATAAAGATAAATATAAATATAATCATACTAAGCATTAATCATAGAATATTTTCAATAATCACTTTAATTAAATTCTATTTTCAGATTTATTAAAAATCCAATTTTTAGGAAACCTAAAATTCATTAATTTCATCTAATAATCATGCCGAATTCCCTCCTAAACCTAATTAATAATTAGGTTAACTTAAATTTTCGGATTATTTTAATAAAAAATTTTAAAACTAAATTTTTTGCTAAAACCCTAATTTCCCCCATTAAAACATTTCTAATATCATATAAAACAAAAATCGTAAAGAGTTTTCTTAAAATTCACAACTTATGAAAAACCCTAACTTTCTAATCTCAAAAATCTTTGGGGAAAAATTTTGTTTTTACAATTAAAACACTTACCCTAACATTCCCCATAAGTTTCCCAAAGAAATTCTAAGTTTTTGTCAAACCTTAGATTTTTTTCTCTTCCAAAAATCTAGAGAAAAAGAAGGATTTTCTTAACTTAAAACATACCTTAGTCTTCTCCTGACCTTCCTCTTCGATTTCCCCCAAATCCGACCGCCGGAAACTACCGCCAAGGACGTCGCCGAAGCCTTGCCTGACCGCCTCCCTCTCCTTCTTCGTGTTTCGGCCGAACAAAAGAATCGCAAGAATGGGGAGGGATTCGACCTCTTCATGATTTAGGGAGTTAGGGATTTTAAAATTACTTATTTGCCCTTGCATGACCTATTTTCATTTTAATATTCTTAAGGGCATTTTAGTCATATTGAAACTTCTATGATTTTAACTTCCAAATTAAACTAAATTCACTATAGGTTCTTTATACCAATTTGCTTGAAATTTTGCTTAGAATTTTATAAAATTAATTTCATCAAAATCCGACGACTTTGAAAAATTCAGTTAAATTTCATCGCGATGTATCGATATGTGTGCAACGCTTATGATTGACGATTTCCGGTTTTACAAATAGTTCCACCTAGTGTCAAGCAAACAACATCAAGCCTTTATCCCACTACATGGGGTCATCTACATGAATCCTTTTTCGGCATTGTGTCCTATTAAGAGTCAAAGTCTTATTTAAATCTAATAAAGAAATGTCATTTCTAATATTTTCTAACCAAGTTTTTTAGGTCTACCTCTACCTTTCTTAATATAAGCCAAATCTAATACATCTACACTCCTAATCGGGTCATCGGAAGGTCGCCGTTTTATGAGAGCAAACCATCTAAGGTGACTCTCTCTAATCTTAACTTCCACTGGAGCTACTCCACCATCTTATAGAATATTCCCTTAAATTTTAGGGGAACTTTCCTATTACACAATAAGCCCGATGCATTCCTCCAATTCAACCATCCAACTTGAATTCTACTAATAATATCCCCATCAATTTCACCATCACTCTGAACAATAGACCAAATATATCTAAAACATGTACTCTTATTAATGACTTGATCGTCCAAAGTCACAATCTCCCCACTAAATCTATTACTACTAAAATTACATTCTATATACTCGGTTTTAGATCTACTCAAACGAAAACCTTCAGACTCTAAAGTTGACCTCCATAATTCAAGTTTACCTTCAACTCGCTCTCTAGTCTTATCAACAAGAAGAATATCATCAGCAAAAAACATACACCAGGGTACAACCTCTTGCAAATGTCTAGTGAGAACATCCATGACTAAAGCAAAAAGATATGGGCTTTTTAAAGCTGATCCTTGATGTATTCCAGAAATAGAAAAATACTTGGTCAAACCATCTTGTGTTTGAACAGAAGCAACAACTCCTGCATACATATCCTTAATGACTTGAATATACGTATTATTAACCTAGTGTCAAGCAGTAAATAAAAATTTATCTTAAGAAAACACAACGATTTTTAAAGTTCTGTTATTTGGGCATTTGAAACATTTTATTCCTTGCGAAAATGGGCTGCTTTATGGCTGGATTAATTATCCCTTTGGCTTTACTCTGGGCACTTACAAGTATTCACATATCTCTGCTTAAAATCCAAGCTAATTTGATAAAATGGCTTCCATTTTAGATGCATGTAAGTTGAAATTGCTCGTCTCCTTCTGAGTTTATTTATTAATTTATTGTTCACTATGTTTGATAATTCATTGAGTTATGAAGGAATTCTTATTCATCTAATATTTCTGGTTATCCATAGCTGCTGATGGAGCTATTTTACTCCTGACAAGTTCGCCTCTTGTGGCAAAGCATGTTGTAAATTCGGCTTTTGATCGTCAGGATAGAGGAAAACAACTGGTTAGTATTCATACAAAGTTGTTTAGTTTGTTAATTCAGCATATGTAATTTTTTCTACCCGAGCCTGAGGCTTGTTGGATTCTCACTTTGTTTTACTAGGACGGATTATATAAAGTATTAACAGGATTCTATAGATGATATTATGAGAATATGAAAGGGCTATGTTACAGTTTACAGAATAGTGGAAATAATTCCTGAATCGAATTTATGGGTTGGACTCATGCTAGTCCCCTTTCTCAGTGTTCCAGCTGGGACCACCAACACTCAAGCTTTACAGTAGATATTTTTCATGCCTTGCTGGTGTATTCTGTAATGTAGAGCTCATAATTCTTTAGTTAAAATGAAAACAAGTTGTGTTTGAAACTATGGGCTACATGTCAATTCACTTTCCTAATTTTTCATTGATGAGGTTTCGATCGGTTTGAATGTATTTTCTTAGTTCATATTGGATTAGGTTATGTGCAATATTGATAACTGAAAATTTTGACATAGTATACCTTCATAGTACCTTCCCACTTTATTCTCAAGTAAATTAGGGTGATTTTAATCCATATTAGTTTTCAAATTCCCCGTGTAATTGCATGAAATTCAACTTCAACACTAGATTCGGAGACAATTGACTGCATCTTGCTTTTTCGAGTGATTAGATTTCCTCCAAAGGAACAGTTGGTACCAGTAAATTTTTTATTTATGAGAGATCCTGCCCAAGCAACATCTGTATATGCTTCTAAGCTAACTCTTTCATTCATTCTAAATAAAATTCCTTTTCTTAGTGTTGATTGTAGGTACTAATGAGCTTTATATGTAGCCTGCAAATGATTTTTTTGGGGGGTTATGCATGAATAGGTTTAGAATAGTTGTGACATAGGCTATATTCGGCCTTGTGTGGGTGTGTTAAATAAGCCTCCCAATTAGTCTTTAATACCTTTGGCAACTTGTGGGCTATTGTTTCTCCTCTAAGCTTGTGTCAGTTATCAATAGAAATTTTTTAGGGCTTGCATCTCGTCATACCTATTTTATTAAGTATATTCATGATTTATTTTTGTTGATAGATGAGGATCTTATCCCTTGAGTGAGCCACTTTTTTCCAAGTGTTTGAGTCTTCCCTATTATAAATATTTCATCCACATATTCTAGTAGAACTATGATTTTTGGCTTTCTTGGTTCTTTTTATGAATAGTGTGATCTCTCAGGCTTTCTTTTATGCACATCCTTTCTATAACTTTGGTGTATCTCCCAAATTATTCTCTTTAGGATTGTTTGAGTTCATATAAGTCTTTGTTTTACATACATACATGGCTAGTATTGAATCCATAATCAAACTTGGTGGAGGTTTCATATAGGCTTCTTCTACTTCATAATATAAAAGTGCAGTTTTTTCTTTTATTTTTAACTCTTCTTAAGAATTAGTTCAGGTGAATAGTATTTAGTTTTGTAATTGATGCTAAAGTTTCTCCATAAAGAATTCCTAAAAATTGAGTGTAAGCATTTGCAATGAGTAACTTTATACTATTCGAGTGTCTTATTTGTATTGTATTTGATAATGTATACCCATTTACATCCAATTAATTTATTTATTTTTAGTAATTTTACTACCTCCCAAATCTTTTTTTTTCTCAAACCATTGATTTTTATCATTTCTTATTCTCGAATGCTTCTTAGGCGATTCTTGGAATTTTGATTTTATTTATCTCAGTAAGGAAGGTTTTGTGGGATGTGGAAAGTTCAGAAAAATAAATAAAGTTGGCTTTTAGCTAAGGTGCATTTTCTTATCCGCTTTCTTAAAGGAATAAGAAGGCAAATATCATGATTATTTTGAGTCATTAGGATAGAGTTTTTACTTTCATTACATGGTGGTTGATCTTGTATATATTGGAATTGTTAAGCATGATTTGTTTCAAGGTTAGATTCCTCCTTTTTGTTTAGTATACAATTAGCATACTTGTAATAATGTTTAGGATGATCAGGCATGGCATTCTTAGAGATGCATTTTAGTTGAGGTTGAAGATATTTGGAGAGGAGGGCTAACTAAAGCTATTTGGGTACTTGAACAAATGTTAAGGAATCAAAGCTTAGAAAATCATGGTTATTTTTATTCCTCTGTTGAAGACAATCATCATATAATCCATGATTTTCAGCGATGGTAACAGCTCAAAAGATCCTTTTAGTGGTAGCATTATACCCTTTTTGAGTCAAATATTTCAGGAAGAAGGATTTCAGGGACCTATGATCATGCTTAGTGTTTTGATGGATGCTTATGTGGGCAACACGCCCAAAGGTTCTTAGTGGGAGTGTGAATGTTTTGTGGAGTGGAAAAATTCTATGAGAGTTTCAATGTATTTTATTTTGTAATATTTTATTGGGAGGCAGTTTATTAGAATGGTGGCATTTAAAAGACCTTCCCCTCAATAAAATTTTGAAATATTTCGTTCAACTAGTAGGACCCTAGTGCTCTCAAGAAGATGAAGATTTTAAATTTATGCTATCTCGTTTTATTGTGGTGCCCTAGCATAGGAGTGGATGATGTGAAAAGAGGATATAGGTTTATTAAAATACTGCTTCTGCTTAATATTAGTGCTGAATTGGGTGAGGATCATTCATTTTAATGAACATGAAGAGAATTGTACTTGTGTTAGATTTATTTTTCATCAATAATAACTACTAGCTAATACATTAGTACTAATCTATGAAAGAAATAAATAGACTGAGCCCATTAATATCTATCATATATGATGGGCTCTATACATCAATATGGCTTAAGTAGAAAGGTATTGAGGCTTTTGAGTTGTGGGCTCCGAAAATTCGGCCCAGCCTCCCCGCCGCGCAATTTCTTTTATTATTCGGCGAGGGAGTTTTAACGAACTAAGTTCCGGGGTAAATTTTGGAAGGCAGATGGGTTTGTAGATAAGACACTACCCAGAGATTTCGCCCTCATTTTGCGAGGACTTTATGATCTGAGTTCTGGTTTCCTATAGGCGCTAGCCCCTATAGTTAATTACCCTTCCCTATAACGAGAGAGAACTTTCGATTAAGGCTAGTCATCGATCAGATACGTATG